GCCTGGGTGGCTCAGTCGTTAAGCGTCTGCCTTCGGCTCAGGTTATGATACCAGGGTCCTGGGATCGAGCCCCTCATTGGGCTCCCTGCTCAGTGGGAAGCCTGCTTCTCCCGCTCCCTCTGCCTGCCTCTCTGCCTACTTGTGCTCTTTATCTCTCTGTCAAATAAATAAAATCTTAAAAAAAAAAAAGAATTTTACTTTATCTGGGGCATCTGTGTGGCTCAGTCATTAAGCGTCTGCCTTTGGGTCAGGTCATGATCCCGGGGTCCTGGAATTGAGCCCTGCATCCGGCTCCCTGCTCCTCCCTCTCCCATTCCCCCTGCTTGTGTTCCCTCTCTTGCTGTCCCTCTGTCAAATAAATAAATAAAACCTTAAAAAAAAAGAATTTTACTTTATCTAATGGCTTTTTAGCACTATCTCTTTGCATTATGTTTTTAGTGTTTGCTCTAGGGGTTACAATAGACATACTTAACTTTTCACAATCCATGCAGAGTTAGTATCAGCGTACAGTGTAGAAGCTTTGCAACACCATAGGCCCATTCACCCCCAAACCTGTCTTTTACGCTATAATTGCTACATGCACTCAATCTACATATGTTATGAACCCTGTAAGACAACATTAAAATTTTTGCTTTAAGTAGTTTTATGTATTTTATTTTATTTAGTTAGTTATTTATTTTAAAGATTTTATTTATTTATTTGACAGACAGAGACACAGCAAGAGAGGGAACACAAGCAGGGGGGAGTCAGGGAGGGAGAAGCAGGCTTCCCGCGGAGCAGGGAGCCCGATGCGGGGCTCGATCCCAGGACCCTGGGATCATGGCCTGAGCCGAAGGCAGACGCTTAACGACTGAGCCACCCAGGCGCCCCTAAGTAGTTTTATGTATTTTAAAGAAATTAGGAGGAAAGGCAGTCTTTTATATTAACCTATATTAACCATTTTATATTAAATGATATTTATCATTTCCATTTTATTTCTTTCTGAAGATTCGAGTTTCCATTTGGTATTATTTCTCTTCAGCCTGAAGAATATCCTATAGCATTTCTCATAATGCAAATCCGCTGGTAACAAATTCTCTTAGTTTTTTTTTTTTTTAAGATTTTATTTATTTATTTGACAGAGAGAGAGAGCATGAGAGCAGGAACACAAGCAGGGGGAGTGGAAGAGGGAGAAGCAGGCTTCCTGCCTAGCAGGGAGTCCGATATGGGATTCAATCCCAGGACCCTGGGATCACGACCCAAGCCGAAGGCAGATAATTAACGACTGAGCCACCCAGGCACCCCAAATTCTCTTAGTTTTTATATATATTAGGATATATATATATACACACACACACACACACATATACCCAAAAACTTATCTATATTGTTTTCATTCTTTTTTGTTTGTTGTTTTTTTCCCTATTTTTCTAATTTTATTGAGTTATGATTATCATTTGATAAATTGCATATAAAGTATACAATTTGATAAGTTTTCACATATGTATACACCCATGAAACCATCATCACAATCAAGGAAACATATTCATCATCTCCCAAAGTTTCCTTGCACCTCTTTGTAATACCTCTTCTCTATCCTCCTTTGCCCCCTCCCCATCCCCTAGCAACCATTGATATGCTTTCTGTTGCTATGGATTAATTTGCATGTTCTAAAATTTTATGTCAATGAAGAATGATTCAGCATGTATTCTTTTTCATATTGCTTCTTCAATCAGCATGATCATTTTGAATGTCACTCATGGTGTTACATGTATCAATAGTTCATTCTTCTTTACTGCTGAGTAGTTTTCTATTGTATGGATATACCATGTTTGTTTATCAAAATTGTTGATGGACATTTGGCTTGTTTTCAGTTTTTGGTGATTACAAATAAAGCTGCTATGAGTATTTGGCCCCACGTCTGTGTATGGACATGTGCTTTCATTTCTCTTGGGCAAATACCTAGTAGTGGAAAGGATGGTCATATGAAAAATGCATGTTTAACTTTTTAAACGTTAAAAACAGTTGCCAAATTGTTTTTCTAAGAGAACGTACCATTTCACAGGCTCACTAGCTGTGTGAGAGTCCCAAATGCCTGCCAAAAGTTAGTATTTTCAGTCTTTTAAATTTTAGCCATTTTGGTGGGTATGTAGTGGAATCTCATTATGATTTTATCACCTTCATTCATAAAGGATATTTTCACTAGATATAGAATTCTGGGTTGACAGGTTTATTTTTTTCTTTCAGAACTTTAAGATGATGTTCCTCTACCTCCTTGCCTCCATCCTTCTGATGAGACGCCCACAATCATTTCAGTTGTTGCTCCCTTATATGTCTTCCCCTATCTTTCTCTGAGCACTTTCAGTTTGTTCGTTTGTTTGCTTTTTTTTTTTTTTTACAAGATTTATTTATTTTTTTATGGGGGGGGCTGGGGGAGGGGGTAGAGGGAGAGACAGAATCTCTAGCAGACAACCCGCTGAGTGCGGAGCTCAACGTGGGTCTCAGTCTCACAACCCTGAGATCATGACCTGAGCCAGAATCAAGAGTCAGATGCTTAACCAACTGAGTCACCCAGGCACCCCTAAAAAAATGTTTTTAAAGCACAACACCAACTACAAAAAGCAGATGGTACTAAAAAAAACAGAGATAACATAGCAATAATTTAAAAGATACTATACTAATTTTTTTTCCACTTTCCCAAACTTTATTAAAGAAAAAGCAATGATGGTAAATCTCAAGAACATAGTCAATTTTCTAGGATTTTTCCCTTGAAAATGTGACATTTGATTTCCAAACACATGCCAGAGTGTACATGGTTCCCAATTGTACTAAGTAGGTGAGAAGCTGAAATCCTAAAATGTTCATCTTCCAATTTTCCCCAGTCTGTGGTCTGTCTTTGGATCAGCAATAATTGCTTGAAAAGCTACTATGGCTTCATTAATTTTTGTCTGTAGCTCTCTGAGCTCTTCTATATGCAGCAATCTCAGAATTTGAGCAGCTTCATTAAGAACTGCATCTCCTGTGTCAAAACCAAGAATATGGGGCGCCTGGGTGGCTCAGTTGGTTAAGCAACTGCCTTCGGCTCAGGTCATGATCCTGGAGTCCCCAGATCGAGTCCCGCATCGGGCTCCCTGCTCGGCAGGGAGTCTGCTTCTCCCTCTGACCCTCTTCCCTCTCGTGCTCTCTGTCTCTCATTCTCCCTCTCTCAAATAAATAAATAAAATCTTTAAAAAAAAAAAACAAAACCAAGAATATGTTTGTCTAAAGCAACAAGCAAGCCCTCTTTCGTTTGATTTGCTTTAGCAACTGCATCCTGGGTCAGGCGCTCCTGGACCAAAATGCGAATTGCCTTAAGCATTACCAGGTAATCATCATGAGGCTGAATATGAAGGTTAGCCAAAGCCATTACACCAGCCTTAAAATCAGGATTATTTACATCCAAGTTGATCAATGGCTCTGCATTTTTAGCTGCATTGTCAGCATTTTTTGTATTATCAGGTACCAAGTCCTTGTATTTATCAGCATTATCTCCATATTCAAGTCTAACAGCTAAACCAAGAAGCCAGTCAATTGCTTCTTGTCGATCTTGAATCTTGAAAGGAGTTAACATATTTGAGATAGTTTTCAAAGAACTTGGGCCAGTCACTGCTGTGGATGTTTTTTAAATTACCTCTGTCTTCAATCTTGTAGTGTCTGATTTTCTGGTCTTCAAGCCAAACAATAAAGTTTCTAAACTCTGTTTCATCTTTGCAGTTGAAGCCAGCCGGGTTGTGGTAGTGGAGGGCCGTCAGCTTGCGTCGGGACATGGTCCCCGCGTCTTGCTCTGGTCCCCCAGGCTTCGGCCAGGAGAGGAAAGGCCTATACTAATTTTTTTAAAGGATGCAGGACATTTAATCTTAGAAAAGTACAAAGATATGACAGGGCTTTAGAATTAGGGGTGATGGTTTATGCTGCCTTTAATTTTAAGAAATCCTAGTTAAAGAAAAACTGTTAAACATTTCTAACTTCACAATTATTCAAAACGTGGCATCTTTAAGATTCCAGAAAAGGGCCTATGAGAAAAATTAGTAAGCAAATCTAAAATGCAGGGACATTAAACACAGAACTGAAAACAAGGTAATTGTGGCATTTTCTTGGAAAAGAAACTTCAGTCTATGACAAGATTCCAGTTAATGAGGACGCTCAAATAAAAAAAATTAAATAACATCACATTCTGCATGGAGCACTGGGTGTTATATGCAAACAATGAATCATGGAACACTACATCAAAAATTAATGATGTGGGACGCCTGGGTGGCTCAGTCGGTTGGGCGTCTGCCTTTGGCTCAGGTCATGATCCCAGGGTCCTGGGATCGAGTCCTACATTGGGCTCCTTGCTGGGCGAGGAGCCTGCTTCTCCCTCTGCCTGCCTCTGTCTCTCTTTCTCTGATAAATAAATAAAATCTTTAAAAAAATTAATGATGTAATGTATGGTGATTAACATAACATAATAAAAAGATTTTTTTAGGGCGCCTGGGTGGCTCAGTTGGTTAAGTGACTGCCTTCGGCTCAGGTCATGATCCTGGAGTCCCGGGATCGAGTCCCATGTCGGGCTCCTTGCTCAGCAGGGAGTCTGCTTCTCTCTCTGACCCTCTTCCCTCTCGTGCTATTTCTCATTCTCTCTCTCAAATAAACAAATAAATAAAATCTTTAAAAAAAAAAGATTTTTTTAAAAGAAAAGAAAAAATAAAATAACAAGCAACAATTAAGATTTATTGAATGCTTACCAGGTGCTGAGGCACTGCGTTAAGTACTTTACATTGATTGACTTATTTAATCTTCACCACAATCCTCTGGGGCAGATATTATTTATTACTGTCTGCACTTTATAGATACGAAATCTGAGGCTTAAAGAGGTTAGATCACTTGCCAAATATCCCCATGCTAGCAGTGGGAGAGCCAACAGGGATTTGAGTGAAAGCTTTCTGACTTCAGAGCTGCCTCCCTCCGAAAGTGCTATACATTATAGACAATGGGTAAAAACAAACAAAAAGGAAAAAACAAACAACTCCCTGACAATTACTGTTCTAACCTGGTGAAAAAAAACATTTTCTTATCTAATTTTCGTAGCAGCCTTATGTAGTAGGTGTTATCATCTTTTTTTAAATCTTTTTAAAAGATTTTATTTATTTATTTGAGAGAGAGAATGAGAGAGAGAGAGAGAGGGAGCATGAGAGGGGGAGGGTCAGAGGGAGAAGCAGACTCCCTGCTGAGCAGAGAGCCCGCCGCGGGACTTGATCCTGGGACTCCAGGATCATGACCTAAACCGGCCAACTGAGTCACCCGGGCGCCCTATCATCTTCTTTTTTATAGCTGAGAGAGCTGAAGCTTAAAGAAACCAAATACCTTGCCCAGAGCCACACATTCAGTAAGGGATGGATGCCAGACTGGGACCCACATCTGTCTCTGAAGCCCCAATATTCTACACAGGTTCCTCAGGGGCCTCAGTGAATACCAAACAGTTTTATCTCCATCTCTGCTCCTATCTGCAGAGGAGCAAACTCTTCCTCCCACCTTCTCTTCTAAGGCAGTCAGCCAAAACACACCCTCCCCACCCCATGGCTTCCTTCACTGGCTGATTACCATAGCTCCTAACCAACCAAGGTGAGACTCGGCTGAGAAACTTTCCCTGCTGCTGTCCTCTTCCCCTCCCCCAGTCTGAGTCCCTTGTGGATGCTCGCTCGCGGAAAGCACCTTAGGTTTTCCTGGTTCCAGCATTCACGTTCCCCTGGAGTCAACACTGTTAGTGTCCCCTCTCCCTTCCTGTCCAGGGCTCTGCCGAACACACTATCCAACAGTGATTGTTTTCTTATCTCCTCAGTGTCTAGCTAAGTGCCTGGCACACAGTTTATGCTCCGTGAATGCTCGATGGATGGATGAATAAAAACTGACCTCTGAAGTCCTCTACAATTACCAACATACAATGAACGCCATAATTCAAAAGTCCCTGCCATACAGTGTGTGTCATACGTATTGGTGAATCTATATAGTTCTTTTTTTTTTTTTTTAAGATTGTATTTATTTATTTGACAGAGAGAGACACAGTGAGAGAGGGAACACAAGCAGGGGAAGTGGGAGAGGGAGAAGCAGGCTTCCCCGTGGAGCGGGGAGCCCGATGCGGGGCTCGATCCCAGGACCCTGGGATCATGACCTGAGTCGAAGGCAGACGCTTAATGACTGAGCCACCCAGGCACCCCTATATAGTTCTAATATTTAAATGAAATGGACCAAATAGTACTCATTAGGTTGACTAGACATGGGTAAATTTGAACAGATTTTTCTTGTTTTTTGAAAGAGTTAATGATTATTTACTAATTATAATGAGCATTTACATTTGTAAAAATAGTCTGCATCTTCAGATACATTATCTCATTTAATCCTTATGATCAGTTCTTTTTTTAAATATTTTATTTATTTGAGAGAGAGAGAGAGAGCACAAGCAGGAGTGGGGAAGGGTCAGAGGGAGCAGACTCCCCGCTGAGCAGGAAGCCCAGGACCCTGGGATCATGACCTTAGCCAAAGGTAGCCGCTTAACCGCTGAGCCATCCAGGTCCCCCTCTTATGAACAGTTATGTGAAATAGGTATTAGATACTGTATGATAGCATAATGAGCTCAAAGGTGATGTATTCAAGATCATACAACTAATAAAATTGCTAGGAATAGACTCCAGCTCTTTAGTCCAGTGTTCTTTTCACTATGTTACCTATGAAGACATAGACATACTGAAAGTGAATATTGCCCATAAAATGCAGATTCACAAAAAATAGTGAGTGAGGGAAGATTATCCTTTCCTTCATACTGATAGAGCATTTATTCTGGTGGGCACTGGTCTTAGAATCATGAAAGCAGTCGTAGAAATATCTTTAGTTAATTTTCCTGGCATAGTCTTCAGACTTTCTTTAAACCGATTATAAAAAAAAAAGAGTAACATTTCACTGTATAACATCTGTACAATGTTTTACCATGTACATGTATCAGCTATTTCAAAATTTTTACAAATAAAAAGATTCTAGTAAGTTAATATTCTTTACTGAGTCAAGTGAGTGTCATAACGCATACCAACTGAGGGCAGGTGTTCTCCTGCCCTCAGCTGCTTCTAGAAACACCATCTTTACTAGATAATTGAATGCCCCCGTATATTTTCATGTCTTTGCGTATAAGAATTGTGAGGTGCATACTAAATATAAATAACAAACAGACTAATGTTACAAATGCACTGAGAAACCAAGAACTGCTGGCTACCACAAATCTGTAAGCAGCAGATCAAGGACTGAATCCTTGATTTTCTGACTCCAAAGCCACTGCTATTTTCCTTTTCTAGGCTGCCTAGACCTGCTCCTGAAAGTTACAACCAGCCCTCTGGTCAGATTACGGGGTTTCCAAGGTTCCTTTGCTGGGCCCTAAAGTACTCATAAGATCTGCAAGATGTATTAAGTGAAAGAAGCAATGTAGTAGAGGTGCCTGGGTGGCTCAGTGGGTTAAGTGACTGCCTTCAGCTCAGGTCATGATCCCAGGGTCCTGGAATCGAGCCCCTCATCGGGCTCCCCGCTTGGTGGGAAGCCTGCTTCTCTCTCTCCCACTTGTGTTCCCCCTCTCTCTCTCTGTCAATTAAATAAATAAAATCTTAAAAAAAAAAAGCAATGTGATATATTTTATCACTTTGTGCCAAAAAGTGAAACTTTTTTCAAGATTTTTAAAATTTTGTTTTAGTTCCAGTGTAGTTTACATAGTACAATATAGTGATCTAACAGTTCCATACATCACCTGGTGCTCATCAAGATAAGTCTACTCTTAATCCCCTTTCCCTATTTCCCCTACCCCCCCACCCACCTCGCCTCTGGTGACCATCTGTTTGTTCTCTATAGTTAAGAGTCTGCTTTTTGGTTTGTCTCTTTTTCTTCCTTTGTTTCCTTGTTTTCTTTTGTTTTAGTTTAATATTTTTTATTATGTTATGTTAATCACCATACATTACATCATTAGTTTTTGATGTAGTGTTTAAAAAGAATGTATGTTTGCATTTGCTTATTATGCATTCACTATCAGTTGCCTACAGGCTCCCCATCTGTGAAATGCTGGTGATGGGATTTCATTAAATATTGCAAATATTAGAACAGTGCCTGGCTCATGGAAATACCATTTTACTTGGATTCTCAATCCAAATAATTTCTTGGCTTAATCATATTCTAAAATACCCCTTTAAAGATCTTTTTTTTTTTACTGGCACTGGCAAGATGAAAACGCGGCAAGCCACAGCAAAATGTAATTACTTAAAGCTGCTTTAAATTAGGCCCAATAGCAGAGTGATTAGCCAATACGGAAAGATGTTTGGTGAACCACAATTACAGATATCAAAGAACTATTGCAGTTCACCCTTTTACTAAGTTAATAACTAAAATCCTTCCCCCCCCCACAAAAGGGGTCATGCAGATGTTTACTACAATGTATTTTAACAGTTTGCTACTCTAAATGGTATGAACAACTTTAAGGGAAATCTCAAACAAAATATGACCTCAGATTACAACCCCAAAATACATTTACAAGTCTCAACAATGTTACTGTTACCATTTTAAGTTAGTAAAAGGCACACCGTATCTGCTGTAAAGTCGTGGGGAGAAAAACTGCATTAGGGTTATGTTCAAAACACAGGGGCTAGGGAACAGGGCTTTTTAAAAAACAGAGTATTTGCCTCAGTGGCCTCTAAAAAGAGGCCATGCCAAGGTGACGAAAACCGACCCCCACCCTGAGCCACGTGGGGTTTTCTGTCTCCTCCTACGCGCTTTCTTCCGCAGAGGACCCAAGAAAGTGACCTCAAGGTGGGGGCGTGCCCGGGGGCGGGCTGGGGTGGCCTCGGTGCTGCGGAGACCCGAACCCGGGGGTCCCGGCCTGCCTATAGGTGTCCCAGCGCACCACTAGCGCGGGTCGCTCGGCCCCAAGAGTGGGCGCCCGGGAAAGGCGGCCGAGTGTCCTCCTCGTCGCCTGGGACCGCCGCATACTGCCGGCGCCGCCCCAGTCCCCCTTACTCTGAATCTGGGTGCGCCCGGAGCCGCGCGCGACTTCCCCGGGACTCGCGGTCTCCTTGCGCTCTGACCCCGACCAAGACCAGAGGGGGACCTCTGCCCTCTGAGAAAAGGCTTGTGGCTAGTATCTAAATCTAATTCACAATATGGCTCGAGATACCCCCACCCCTCAAAAGTCTGGACCATTATCGAAACATGAGTAAGAGCAACTAGTCAGTGGTGCCCAGTAGGTTACTTAGATATAAATCAGGGAATTATGTATAGTTTTGCTTTTTCTTAGGTTCTATTTTTAAAAAGGATTCTCTATAAGGTATTATTCTTTATATGCTCATCTGCAGACCTTGGAGAAAACTTGCTTACAATCTGGGATGGCTTTGGAGTCCTGCTTTAATTTTCCTTTCTCTTCTGGGCATAATAATGCAAGTCCGACTGTCTTTATTTGCTCCTGGAACATTCTTGGACCATTTTGTTACTTTATTTGGAATATTGGATTATTTTTTTCACCATCCAAAAGAGCTGTAAGGAGGAAGTACTAGAAAAATTAAAAGGTGAGATTTGAATCAGGAGTTGTAGTTTTTATAAGCTCCTGTGGAAATGTTTGTGCGCATCTATTAAAGAATTCCAGTGTCCAGCATAGTGCTGAATATACACATATCTATAAAAATTACTGTTAGGGGCGCATTCGGCTCAGGTCGTGATCCCAGAGTCCTGGGATCCAGTCCCACATCAGGCTCCCAGCTCAGGGGAGAGTCTGCTTCTCCTTCCTTCTCCCTCTGCCCTTCTACCTGCTCCTTCTCTCTCTCTTACTCACTCTCTCTCAAATAAATAAATAAAATATTAAAAAAAAATTACTGTTAGAATATAGTAGGTCCCTATTTTCAAACAATAATTCAACTGAAAGTACACATATCTCCAGTTATTACAATTTTAGGATTGTATAAAAGTACTTAAGTTTGCAACGTCACATTTTAATGAATTGTGCAGATTTCACAGAGGTCACTTTTCTCACTTTTATCGAGTGGAAATCATCTTTGATACTTTTCCCTCTCACCAACATCCACTTTCATTTTGACTTTTCTTTCTTAGATTAGATGTTAACTACAATTTTGGATTCCATGTAAAGCTTTCAAGTACTCAGCTTTTAGTCTTCTTCAGTCTTTGCTTCCCTCCTCATGTCACTTAACCATTTCTTTACATTTTCAAAAATTTGCTATTCCTGTTAAAATATTTATATGACCTAGTATTATTTCCAATAATGTTCAAACCTAAACCATTTGAGGCTTGCTCAAGAAGGCCTGGGAGGGGCGCCTGGGTGGCTCAGTCGTTGGGCATCTGCCTTTGGCTCCGGTGGTGATCCCAGGGTTCTGGGATCAAGCCCCACATCGGGCTCCCTGCTCGGCGGGAGGCCTGCTTCTCCCTCTCCCACTCCCCCTGCTTGTGTTCCTGCTCTTGCTGTCAAATAAACAAATAAAATCTTAAAAAAAAAAAAGAAGGCCTGGGAAATAATAAATCTAGTGTGGCATCCTAATCTTAATCTGACATAACACAGTGTGCAGTTCATATTACTATGATGTACAAATATGACTGTGGGAATCTAGTTTCAAAGAGAACAGTTATATTTCCAAGGAAATAAACAAGAGCAGAGGTATTTGCATTCTTCTATTGGTAGTGCCTGATTTTAACTGGTATCTTACATTTTTATTATATTACAAACATTGACTAGCATATCAAGATGATTTTATTCCACATGTATATGACTGGGTAAGGGCACTAGGAAAATGCAATGTGACAAAAGAATTTATGAAAGGAAAGCTAGAAATATAGACATAGAAAGGGCTTTTTTGCTGGAAAAAGATTAGTTATATGAATTTCTAAGGAAACTTAAATATGGCCTAGTTTCTTTCATGAAAACTCAAAGTTAAAAAGAGAAGGCTAGAAACCTGCTAATGAAGAAATTAAAAAAAAAACTTAATTTTAGATGTTTATATCTAAAAGAGTGGTAAAACAAAAAGATATAGGAAGGTTATTCTGAAAGACTTATTTCATTTACAAAGAAAAAAAGGATTTGGGTTGTGAGAAGTTAACTGAAAGCTAGGACTAGAACTGTATTCTACAATGAAATAGAAAGTAAGTAAGCACCATACAAGTTTGCCTTTAACTGCTTCCCAGTTGTTTTATAGTTTTCCTCTTCCAATTTGATTGTAGGTTCCTCTCCAAAAGGAAGTATTTCTTTTGTACATGCCACAGAACTTCACTTAGCCCTGGACACATAGTAGGTTTCAAGCATTTGTTAATAGATTGGCTGGAGGAGTTGCAGTGATGTTCCACACATGGAAGAGACATACTGACAGAGTAACTAGCTCATTAAAAATAAAAGTTCTTTCTTGAAAGGAGTATTTTTCAGTCTGCCCTGATTGTCAACCAAAAAGGCCTTATCTGGTTTCACTCTCGATTTATGTTAAAATTTAGTTAAAATCAAAGGGACGACAGAAAATGAATCCATTTATTTAAATGGATAGGCCACTTTTTAGAAGCAGTGATTTCACAGCAAGTGTTGAGGATAGGAAATTGGGTGGATAAGCTTGCTGATGCTGTAGATCTTAGTTTCTGTATGAGATCATGTGGAAAGACTGAATTTGAAAAATTCTTTTTAGGTCTCTCATCCTAGCAATCAAATGAGTGTACACTGGAAAGACAATGTACCACGAAGAGTAGACGCACACACGGTCTTTTTATAGCGTAATAAAACTAGAGTTAAAAAGCAAACTGTGGGATTGAAATCTAATCTAAATTGAAAAACCAGACGTCTGGAGTACCATATGGGGTGAACGTGTGATACGGGCTTCGATAAAAGCAACGGGCTTTTAATGGAACAAACGAAGAGGCCAGCCCAAGAGCATATTCGTCCTGGTCACGGCCACCAACTTGAAACCATTACGGATTTTCGGGCTGTGAAGGTGGCCCTTTGCGTCGTCCGACCCCCCTCTGCCGTGAGTGCCGGGGCCTTGTACGCCTCTCCAGCCCGGAGGGGATCTGAAGGCAGGGACCGGGGAGGAGCCAGCCCGGGGCGGACCTGCGACGAGCGGAGGAAGCGGCTCAAAGGGGCTGTCCCAGACCTTCGGGAGAACTAGGCTAAGAACTGGAGGTACATGGCCAAGGGAAAACATACTCCAACCTCCACACCACCTTTGCAGTTAAACCAGGAATCGTACAGAGGATTCTGTACTTCCTCGCCGGGCCGCCTCCTCGCCGCCCGCCCCCCGCCCCTCCCAGCTGGAGCTGAGAGTAATTCATACAAAGGAGGACTCGCCTCTGCCTGGGGGAATCCCAGGGACCGTCGTTAAACTCTCGCTAACCTAGAACCGAGGGATCGCTGGTCCCCGCCTCCTCACTCACTTGCTCTCGTCGTCATCGGGGTCGAGAGGAGCATGCGCGAGGCGATGTGTGCTCTTCAGTGGGCTGAGCGTACATCGCCCACGGTCCCCGAGAAGTAGGGGGAGGGGACGGCGATTGAACCAGTGCCTGATGGAGTTGGCGCGGGGTAAACTGGGAAAGTGGTGTCGTGTGCTGGCTCCGCCCCCTTCCCCGAGGGTGGGGGAGGACCGTATATAAGTGCCGCAGCCGCCTTGAACGTTCTTTTTCGCAACGGGTTTGCCGCCAGAACACAGGTGAGTGCCGGGTGTGGTTTCCGCGGGCCTGGCCTCTTTGAGCCGGCTGCGGCCCTCGCGTGCCTTTTACAACTGCCGCGCCACCCAGCCACTTTACGATGTTCTTGACCCCGAATTTCGGGTTGTGAGTAGGTGGGAAGGTTCGAGGCCTTGCCCTTTTAGGACTCCCTTCGCCTCGTGGTTGGTTTGAGGCCTGGCTTGGGTGCTGTGGCGGCCGCGTGCGAATTCCGCCGCACCTTACCTTATTGCCTGCCCTTTTAACAGTCGTTTAAGTCTCGAAACAACTGAACAGTCAAAAAAAAAAACCCGCTATGATTTTCTCCGTCGACAAAATTTAGCGGAGGTTGGTCAGGATTGCCACAGGGTGGGTTTTTTTTTTTTGCGGTCGTCGGGTTCTTGGGGTTGTGGGCCCGCCGCGAGGCGCGGAGGGCGACGGCGAGGCCCACTCGTCCCGGCGCACATGTCCGACGAGCCGCGGGGGGCTCACGAGCCGTGGCCACCGAGTCGGACGCGGGAGAGTCCCGTGGAGTGGGCCGGGCGGCTTTGGTGTCCAGCCTCGCGCCGCGATATACCATCCCATCCCGGGCGGGGAGGCCGGCCCCGCTCGGCACCAGTTGCGTGCGCGGAAAGATGGCCGCTCTCCGGCCCTGCTGCAGGGAGCTCAAAATGGAGGACGCGGCGGCCCGGGAGAGCGGGGCGGGTGAGTCACCCACACAAAGGAAAAGGGCCTTTCCCTCTTAGGCCGCTGCTTCCTGTGACCCCACGGTGTACTGGGCGCCGTCTTGGCACCTTCATTTCTTCTCGGCGTCTTGGAAGCAGGCCTTTCTCAGGGGGGAGGGGATTTTATGCGGTGGAGTTAACCCCATGCTTAGTGGGTGGAGACGAGAGTTGGGCCAGCTTGGCGCTGGTTGTAATTCTCCTTGGAATTCGCCCTATGCGAGTTCGGGTCGTGGCTTATTCTCAAAAGTCTGTGGGACGGTAGTTGTAAAAGGATTTTTTTCCCCTTAAATTTAGGTGTCGTGAAAACCACCGCTCAACCTAAACCAAAATGGGAAAGGAAAAGACTCACATCAACATCGTCGTCATTGGACACGTAGATTCGGGCAAGTCTACCACTACTGGTCATCTGATCTACAAATGTGGTGGGATCGACAAAAGAACTATTGAAAAATTTGAGAAGGAGGCTGCTGAGGTAGGTAAAACAGAGTAATGAGATAGGTAGTTCAGAGTGTTACCATCCCCAAAACTAGTCACTAGTTTATATCTGAATGTCCTACATAAGGGGGAATAAACTAGTGCTTACTGTTGGGTATCTATAACTTTGGGAACTAAGTTAAAGCCACCTAACAGGTGTAAAGTGGAATTCAGCGTTTCTGCTTAAGTGGGAGTAAGGAATTTCGAAGTTTGATCATGTTTTAGTTACCAAGTAACCATTTTTAATCCTTACAGATGGGAAAGGGCTCCTTCAAGTATGCCTGGGTCTTGGATAAACTGAAAGCTGAACGTGAACGTGGTATCACCATTGATATCTCCCTGTGGAAATTCGAGACCAGCAAGTATTACGTGACCATCATTGATGCCCCAGGACACAGAGACTTTATCAAAAACATGATTACAGGCACATCTCAGGTTTGTAGGATTAATAACTTAAAATAATTGTAGGCTTGCATTTGCATCAGAAAAGGGGTGAGTTCATTCTTTTGAAGAACATTTAACAGGATAGGTCTTGTTGTCTTTTAAAGGCTGACTGTGCTGTCCTGATTGTTGCTGCTGGTGTTGGTGAATTTGAAGCCGGTATCTCCAAGAATGGGCAGACCCGTGAGCATGCCCTTCTGGCTTACACACTGGGTGTAAAACAACTAATTGTTGGTGTTAACAAGATGGATTCCACTGAGCCACCCTACAGCCAGAAGAGATACGAGGAAATCGTTAAGGAAGTCAGCACCTACATTAAGAAAATTGGCTACAACCCCGACACAGTAGCATTTGTGCCAATATCTGGTTGGAACGGTGACAACATGCTGGAGCCAAGTGCTAATGTAAGTGACTTCAAGACTTCTAGAGAGCGATGGAAGGGGCAGGTTTTGACACTTAACTGACAACCGTTTGAGGGATGCTAATGGACAATATTGTTTTAGATGCCTTGGTTCAAGGGATGGAAAGTAACCCGTAAAGATGGGAATGCCAGTGGAACCACACTGCTTGAAGCTCTGGATTGCATCCTGCCACCAACTCGTCCAACTGACAAGCCCTTGCGTCTGCCTCTCCAGGACGTCTACAAAATTGGTGGTAAGTTGAACATTACTATCAGAATGTAATTAGTGTGGGTTGCGGTACTGTTTTCACTTAAGGTACTTGACACCACACTTGTAAATATTTTAGGTATTGGTACTGTCCCTGTGGGCCGAGTCGAGACTGGTGTTCTTAAACCTGGGATGGTGGTCACCTTTGCTCCAGTCAATGTTACAACTGAAGTAAAATCTGTTGAAATGCACCATGAAGCTTTGAGTGAGGCTCTTCCTGGGGACAATGTGGGCTTCAATGTCAAGAACGTATCTGTCAAAGATGTTCGTCGTGGCAATGTGGCTGGTGACAGCAAAAATGACCCACCAATGGAAGCAGCTGGCTTCACGGCTCAGGTAACACTTTAAAGTGGCAGTGTTCTCAACTTAACTGCCAGACTCCTGCCTTTTGAGATTTATTAAATGCAAATCTTTCCTCCAAGGTGATTATCCTGAACCATCCAGGCCAAATCAGTGCTGGATATGCACCTGTGCTGGATTGTCACACGGCTCACATTGCTTGCAAGTTTGCTGAGCTGAAGGAGAAAATAGATCGTCGATCTGGAAAAAAGCTGGAAGATGGTCCCAAGTTCTTGAAATCTGGTGATGCTGCCATTGTTGATATGGTTCCTGGCAAGCCTATGTGTGTTGAGAGCTTCTCTGACTATCCTCCTCTGGGTAAGGATGACTTTGAGTGTAATTAGGAAATCACAAGTTAGAAAATAGTGCTTGTGTGGAGAGTTTCTGATGGTCTAAAATTTGTTTTAATAGGCCGTTTTGCTGTTCGTGACATGAGACAGACGGTTGCTGTGGGTGTCATCAAAGCAGTGGACAAGAAGGCAGCTGGAGCTGGCAAGGTCACCAAGTCTGCCCAGAAAGCTCAGAAGGCTAAATGAATATTATCCCCAATACCTGCCACCCCAGTCTTAATCAGTGGTGGAAGAACGGTCTCAGAACTGTTTGTGTCAATTGGCCATTTAAGTTTAATAGTAAAAGACTGGTTAATGATAACAATGCATCGTAAAACCTTCAGAAGGAAAGGAGAATGTTTTGTGGACCATGTTTTTTTTGTGTGTGTGTGGCAGTTTTAAGTTATTAGTTTTTAAAATCAGTACTTTTTAATGGAAACAACTTGACCAAAAATCTGTCACAGAATTTTGAGACCCATTAAAACAAAAGTTTAATGAGAAACCTGTGTCTTCTTTTGGTCAACACTGTAACCTTTTGTATAGTACTATTCAGGTAAAAGTAGGTGTTGCACAGACCCTATTTCTAATGTTAAAATATGCTGAAACTTAAATTTGGGTTAACATTTTTTTCATGGGTGGGAACTTGAGCATTTTCACCTTTTCTGAGGGAAAGAAACTCTTAATAGTAAAAAGCTATGGGGAAAAGGGGTCTGGTGCAACACAGAACAGGTAAGCAAAGAGTAACACCAAGGTAGTTACAAAACAGGTTAAATTCTGTAATACCAAAGTCTATTATGTTGCATATGAGACTTGTATTATGTCACATGCAGTAAACTTGATATATTGTCACACTTTTAGTTTCCCAGTTAATTGGAATGCTTTGTCACATAAATACTGGAATAGTTTGAAGTACCCTAAAACAGCCATTAAATAATACTTTACCTAATAGAGTTAATTGTATCTAGGTTGTAGGAGAAAAAAGTCTACTGAAAGTTTACTGTCAGTTAACTAGAAATCCACTAAGATAGGAATTTTCATCTTTAAAGAGCAAGGTTAGGTGAAGGATCATTATGCACTGGATTATTAACCAAGGTTTGAAGAGGTGCAGTGGGAAATGAGAGGACCCATTTTGGACTTGAGTGTTGGGTAAGCTTTGTTTTCAGTTTGGAAATGTTTTGGAGGTCTAGCTAAGTGTCACTCCAAAAACTAGCAATAGGGAATATTGAAAAATGATAGTTGAACAGGATGAAGAGCTCTTTAAAAAGAACTTACTTCAGTGTTCGGTAAATTTAATAGTATTTGGGCAAAAACCATCTAATCCTTGGCTTTGGATAGCTGGCAAATCTCTCAGAACACTGGTGCATTTGATAATCTTTACCCTTTGAACATTAATTCCCTGAACAGGCTTTTGCTTATAAAAAGTTTATCAGGCAAAAAGTACACAGGATGTGTCCTATTTTATAAGGTGAACAATGCTAAGGGAAATAATCCGTAGGTGAGGAAGGACTGCAGTTGAGAAAATTCTCATTGAGATCTAAGTTAGGTAAAATGGTCTTAACGGTACTACCAGGGGCACTGATGAGGTCTGTAAAGCTTAAGATTTTGTCCACAACTTAAATTTTTCACTTATTTGAACAAATGTGCTTACTGTTAAGGGTTAGAGAAGATGATCTAGTAGGTAAGGTTCTTAAAAATAATCAATAAATGGTAGCTGGCATAAACAGTTTTGAACTGTAATGTTTGCTGTAAGGGATTTGTTCCACCCCCCTAGAACTCAAAACTGCGGAAAATTGCTCCCACTAAGGGGAAGGGTAGGGGGAGAGGGATAGTGTCCAGAGAAGCTTCAGTTGGCTAGTTGGGATGCTTAACTCCGTAGAATCCAATACAGATATGCCATTGTCTGGTTTGAGCACCACCTACTGGTGGTCACTACAAATTAGTTTGAAACCTGAACTTAAAAGTTAAGGATAAACCTGAGTTTTTATTTGAAAGTGCATGAAAGGGAGTAGGGTCAGAGGGAGAAGCAGACTCCCTACTGGGCAGGGAGCCTGATGTGGGACAATCCTGGGACTCCGGGTGATGACCTGAGCCAAAGGCAGTTGCTTAACTGACCCACCCAGGGGCCCCTCTGCTGAGTTTCATATACTAATTGCATTTTGTGTTTGAATTGAGTAAAATTAGTTTTTATAAGACCAGAATGCTTCAAACTGGTGTTGACCTTTGTTTTAAATTGGCAAGCTGTTAAATTACCCATGTTTGTAAGGAATCTCAGATGGGAGCTTGTTGAAATTTGTCCCAGGAATTCTGGTGTGATTTCAGAATATGAAATGGGAAAGGCTTTCTGGTTCAGGAGTTAAAACAGATTGTAAGTAGGGCATATCTGATTTTTTTTTAATCTGGTTATTCATCCAATGCCCAGAATAGGTAGTCAATGTTTTCAGCTAGATCAGAACTCAATTGTATACCATTTTAACACTTGGTCATTTACCTTCTAGGAGCATTCTGTCCAGTAACGGTTATTGGCTGTACAAATGGTACAGAGTCCTTGACTTTAAGTAGAGCTTAGTATGGGGTGTAAAAACTGATAAATATTACAAAAGCTGTATTTTTATGTGTATTTACATTGATTTACCTTATTAACCTTTTTTGCTGAGTTGAGCATAGAGCTCAACCCAAAACTTTGTGGCCATAGTAGTCGCAATACCTGAAATGGAGAAAAAGGGTGACAACTAATTTCTTGTGTGTTAATGTGGCTTTACATATGGTTTAGATTGGTACTCAAAATGTTTAGTTCATTATCACAAAATGCAGAAATAGATTCAGTCAATCGAAAGTTAAGATGCCATTCTGGAGTTAACCTGTAGCCTCCAGGGAGTGAGCAGTGAGATCTAGGTCGTGCAAGGGAGGGGTGCATGATGTTTTGGATGAGGAGTAAGACCTGTTTTCCCCTTTCTTTACCTTCCTGAAGCTTGTTTTCCTGATGTTTTATCACAATGTCTTTAGATTTTTTTTTAAGAGATTTTATTTCTTGGAGAATGAGATAGAGGGAGTATGAGATGGGGGAGGGTCAGAG